TTTGTTTTAGAGACTATACTATTTAACCACTTCTAAAATTTTAATTAATATCAGCTCAATTTTATTTCACATTGAGGTATTTGTTTCTATTCTCATTACCATAAAATATGAATTTCAGTTCCTTTGAGGACCCAGTTAGGGATTAAACTGTTTTCTACTATTCACTGTGCCGTTTCTGTTTATTCACAAAATAAGAAAGATGTTTAGATTATTGTTTATGTTTTATCAAGTTTAACATGGAAAATAAATAGCACATTGGTTTTTTTTGCATAGACATATACCATAGCGGTGCTCATCGTTTTCTTTAAAAAGGAACTTGGTATAAGGGAACAAACACTTGTAGGCCAAAAAATTATTACTGTAGAATTTAATAGTGTTTTGCTCAATTAAACAAAAATCAAGAGCAGGATTAAGACACAAGATTCGTAGACTAACTGGTTTTTTTATTTTAACATATAAATATATTTTTAGAAAACTAAAATCTTAAAATTTCAGTTGGAAAGTTTTTTTCTTCTAACAATACAAAAAAGCCCAGGAAGTATGTGAATCACCAATACATTTAGAATCTAATCAAAGATATTAGTTGAGTGAAGAACTTTGTAGTTGCTTAATCAAGAATAAACTAAGTCCATCAACATTTCCAAATACAATCACAGTGCTGGGTGATAAGAATTAGGTCAAGACCAAGAGGGTTGGTTGCTCAAGATCTGTCCACTGATTCAGGTAAGTACTTGTTCATTATTCATCCAATTCAAAAATTTAATGGTGTATAAACATGCAAGGCATTATGATGTATTTTCAAACTTTATCTGAAACTATGTGTTAAAATAGTGGCAATTAATAAGAGCCTATGCTGGACATCAGGATTATGGCTAAAAACCTATGGAAAAGGTACAATGACTTCAGAGAAAATTTTTTATTATTTTTAAAAGCAGATGATCAAAACATAAACAATAACCTACAAATTAAATACTAGAATTTTCTTGAAATGAAGTTATAATTTGAATTTTGCACAAAGTGGGATTACAATGGACCTTCTTAAGGAGATTTTTTTACTAGAACTGGACTAGAAATGAAAAGAAAACTACAGAAATCTATTTAATTGTAGGCAAACAGGGGAATTTATTTATTTACTTTAATAATTAATTCATCAAGGCTAATTTCATGGAATAGAGAAGCCATTGAGATACCTTTGTTATTCTTTGATTCTGTCCTCCATGTTTTCATAACTAAGAGTGTTTTGAAAACTATTTCTCCCACCAGTTGCCTGCAAAGCAGAGCTATTCTATCATATAGCTCAAGAACTAGGTTTAGTATCTCTAGAGTAAAAGAGCACTGAATATGAACTACAGTAAAATGTTTTCAATTTGAATCTCAATTTGACACGTTGCTAACCGTTCTCTCAGTGAAAGAGCACCGACCCTCTCCCATTTGTTTCGATGTTGAAATAATGAGTTATTCTGAAGCAGAGTAGACAACACGCCAATCCAAAGGACGTCAGGGTTCAGATGCACTCTGTGGGTGGAGGACTGGCAGACAGTCTCACTACTAGAATCCTTTTGCCAGAGGGGCTACTCTGCTGAAAGTAAACCGGGCTTCTGAAGAAGCAGATAAATACCTAACACTTGTTTTTAAATATGCAATTTGTAAATAAAACTGAAAACTAAAAAGAATGGTTATAACAGCTATTTCAATCCTAGAAGCAGTAACAGTAATTGAACATACCATACCAATAAAACTCTTGGTTTTCTGTATTTTGTGTGGGAAACGAAATAAAGTAAAGATATGGAAAAAAAAGATGTGTAACTTTGGTCTAAACACACTGTGTAAATCTACTGCGGTTTATTTATAAAGCTAAGCTGTTAATAATAACTTAAAAATGACTTTCAGGAATTCCAAGAAGTTATTACTTGTAGCAGCAAATGAAAGTAAATACCCAAACCAAACCTACGATGAGCCTACTTTTAGGCTGAAAAGCCAAGATATTGGACGTGTTGTAGAATGAGAAATGGCCCAAGATTATGTTATAAATTTTCAGTGGCGTGCCCAAGCCATGAATGTAGGTGGAAAGTCACGCTGAATCATTTTCCATTTATTTGTGTAGAAATGATATCTTATAGAATACAAAATCCATTTGTTGATTTCGGCTTAATTTTATAGCTAGCATCACAAAATCAGACTGCTCTGAGGGCAACAAAGCTTGCTGATATTTACAAATATAAAATAAGCAGTTACAATGAAACTTTTGGGAAAGTGTCATTACTATCAACATGTTTTTTGTATCAATATTGGTAAGCATAGGTAAATATCCTTTTATACTAAAGTTATGTGTAAAATTACCTATCGGAACTACTCTTCCATTACTTTGCCTACTCCATAAATTATTCTAGACAAACTTAAAGGTTTGTCCTTTAAGTTTTGTCCTAGTCTTTTCTCTCCCTTTATGAACTTCTCTTAACACACAATCATCCAGGTACCTTCCTTCTATAAATTCAGGAGCGATAGGCAGTCTTCAGGCTAAGGTTGGTCAATTTTCCTTACTCTTAAAATTTCATTCAGGCTCTATTTAAGCTTAGTTTCACAACTGTACCCAATATTTCACTAACACACATGAAAATTTTAATTCTTTGTGTAGTTCCACAGAATACCCATCACGAAAACTTCAAAAATAAATTGAGACATCCCCTAAAACAGAGTAGAATACATTTTGTATATTTCATTTATCAATTAATCTTATGATCTATTCTTACTATCATATTATTAGTTACAAAGGAAATCAGAATAATAACCTACAATATTCTATATAATTTATGAAAGAAATCATGTGTGAAAATCAACCTTCTCCTCCAAGTACATTGTATTTTGGGTGCATTGCATGTCAGTCTTAAACTTCACCTTTCACACCGTAATACTGCCTTCCCCTTCCCAACTAGAACATGCAAAACTTATGACCTAAAAATCCCAATACATTAATGATCTATCGAACTAAGTTTTAACCTTTACAAAGTCACTATATCTGTCCTAATGTATAGAAATGCAAATGTTGTCTAGGACAGCACTTTCCAAGAGAAATTTCTGTGATGGAAATGTTCTGTATCTAACTGTCCAATAGGGTAGCCACAAACCACATGTAGCTAATGAGTCCTTCAAATGTGGCTAATGGGACTAAAGAACTGAGTTTTTCATTGTATTTAATTTTAATTTTAAATAGCCCCATGTATTGGATTAGTACTTGCCTAGTAGAGCCTTTAAGCATTTAGATGTGTTAGAAGTGGAAAGTAGATTATGGGCAATCCAGGAATCTTAAAGTATCAGCATCACATTTAAAAAAATGTCATTGATTCCTTCAGTATGACTTTTTCCAGAAGATTCACATTTCAAAAAAATGAAATGCAAACCAACCAAATTCTTCAGGCTGCTCTTCTGTATGAGTCACCTTTTTGCAAAGAGGTGTAAGACTGATTTTATTGCCAGCTTTGCCCCCTCTTTTACAGACAGAACTCAATGATTAGATTCCTCCATTTATTTAGGTTATTCTCTTAAAAAACATGGTTTCCATACTACAAATAAATGACAGGAACTTTTCCACTAAATTATCCCAGACAGCACAAATGTTCTTTCCAAAAGTGGAGCCTGGAACCACAGCCCCCTCACATTTTCTGTTACATCTGTTTATGCTTATAGAAGTGACATCTACTTTGTAGACAGAGAATGCCAATTTTTTGGGAAAGCACCCAGAATTTGGTGAGACTTGAAAAGAAAAAAATTCACTGTTCAAAATAAAGGATACCATAGAATTGAGTAGCTACAAAGAAAGCTCTTTTGAAATTAAGCGAGAAAAGATTTTGCTCCCAGAGTACAGATTCTTTGTATAGATTTGCCGGAGTTTCTATCAAGCCATAATCATTTACGAGCTGATAAAGCTGTGGGTAAGTTACAAAACCTAAACCTCAGTTTTCCTATCTGTAAAATGCAGATAATGATAGTTCTGTTGGAAAAACTTGTGTAAGACTTTGGAATGTGCAAAAGATTACTGGCTGCCCTTTCAAGGGAATGCTGGATGCTATCTGCAGGACTGTGGAGCTCTCTGGTTTTTCAGTAGTCCTCAACTTTGACTGCCTTTTACTAGGTTATTTCACGAATCTATAAACTGTAGAAATTTATGGTAATGTAAATGGTTCTAATTTCCAGAATGTAAAATTATTTTGTTCCTTAGAGACAAAATTGATTACTGCCTGTAGAACAGATAATTCAAAACATTATATTTTAGTGCCTTATACAATATTAACCAGTTTTGCCTCTTTCCTGATTGTTCATAAAAGTCTGTTCTTCACATTCTCATTTGAATGTTGCAGTATCTTGCTATTGAGTCGAATAACATTTTTGACACATCTCTATTTCATATTTCTATGAGTCATGTTTTTACCTTCTTGAAAAATTATCCTTCAAGAGTTTCTACTCCATAGAGCTTTCAGGAGGATTGTTTTAAAGGTCTATATTGACGGTCATGATGAAGTTTATATTTTGCAGTAAGGCTGTAAAACTTCTGTTTTTTTGGGGCGGGGGGGGGGGCGGTAGAAAGGATGTGGGTACTGAGCATTTATTAAAGAGTGAGGGTCTGAAAAACATCTGCCAAGAGTGTCAGACGACCTCCTCATCCCTTTCCTTTTAGCAGTGGAGACTTAAGGTCAAGGTGGGTGTTAGGTGGAGGCCACAGGGGATCTGGGCCTAGGTGGAGGCCTTCCAGGCCTGGTGAATGGCCTGGGGGTTTAGATGCCCTGGGGTCATGAAATTAACTGCACACTTTGTGGGGCTCCAGCAGTGGGGCAGCCCGAGACCCCAGTTCCCGCCGAACCAACACCCAAGCAGAAAGGCAGTGAGGTCCCCAAAGGGCAGGCTTGCCCCAGGCCCGAGAGGCCCCTTGCCCACTGCCGAGGGGGTGGGGCGGCCTTGCCTCGGGCCGGTGCTTTTTGCCCTCGGTTGGCCGCCAGAGGCTCCCTCTCTCTCCCTCTCCTGGGATTTTGCTGCCGGGCTCTCTCTCTCTCTCTCTGCGGCCCTAGAGTTAATCCCATCAGCCGAGGTGAGGCACCTGTTACCCCAGGCCTTCCTCACCCCCGCGGCCTCTCCCCCGTTACACCCCGGCTCCCTGGCCGGCCAAACGGCCGGGCGCGGGTGACCGCACGTGGGCGAAGCCCCTTCCGGGCC